GGTCATGAGAAAAATTTGGCTATCTATCTTAGATTCCGAGATATTAATAAAAAATTGCTCAAAATTGAAAATCGACTTAACGCGGTTTACCGCTTCGCTACTGAATTTATCGTGCTAGTTTTCACTGAAAATCCAAAATGAAAATGATAAGATCCTCGTTCTTTTAATCAAATAATGCCTCAAATTATATGTAAAACAACTAAAGAATAATAACAAAATCAAACCTAATTCGAATAATAAATACAATTGAAAATTATATAAATCTTGAATTAAACCAAGCCATTAATCACAAAACCAAGAATGAATATTTCAATTACTTCCAAATTAATAATAAATAAACAATCGACACACGATTGTCATGATTTATTACGACAAAATGTGTGATATCTTGGAAAGTAATTATGTATTTGATTGAATACAATGCGCATTCGACGTCTAAAAATATTTTTTTGCCAATTCATGGAATCGAACAAATAATGGTGCAGATTAATTTCAAACAGATGCAATTATCTCCCCGTTCCTTTCTCGGAACCATTAAATAATGATTTCGTAGAGGAAATTTCTCTCGCCGGGTAACAATTTGCTGGGTTTCCATTTGCTGTCAGTCAAAATTATCAGTTGGATTCCCGCTTTTGTGCTTACCTCGCTGCTACTATTTTCTTTTCCAACCATTTGCCATTCTCGTCTTTTTCCTCCTCCTTCAATCTCTCGTTTGCCGAACAAATCTACGGCGTTTTAACGGGGCGATCCCCCCGGCGAGTAATGATCAGCGCTATCGGAATTGCATCGTTTACGATGTCTGGCGACAATCGGATATTTCCACTCAACGGCGTTTCGACTCTCGACAATTTTTTAATTATGCGATTTTTTAGATACTTAACAGGAGTGAGGATTATCCTTCGCAAATCTATCATTTCTTTTAAGGGGGGAATATCCTCTGAAAATTGGACATCACCCGAAAAACAAAGTATTTTTGTTTTAAACTTCAATGTAATAATTGAGCATTCACAATTTTCATCGTTTACCGGAAATTTCAGCCAAAAATGTTTAACAACATACATTGATTTGAAAAAACCTGATTTACAGCACATAAAAAAAACCTAAACATAAATTACATTTTGCTGAGGGTAAGGGTTACGAGGGTCAAAACAATTGTTATAAGGGTCAGAATAAAGGTCATAAGGGTCACGTCGTTCATAATCAGGGTCATGAGGATCAGAATAAGTCATAAGGGGTAGAATAAGGTTCATAAGGTTCAGAATCAGGGTCATGAGGGTCGGATTAAGGGTCGCGAGAGTCAGAACAAGGGTCACGAGGGTGAGAATGAGGATCAGAGGGTCATAATATGGGTCACGAGGGTCAGATTAAGGGTCACAAGGGCCAGAATGAGGATGATACTGGTCATATGTGGGTCATATGAGGGTCAGCGAGCAGAAAATAATAATCATAATAATAAACAGTAAAAGATACTTGGATATCCTTGATATCCACCTGATTTACCCTTACAATAATTACATTTTGCTGAGGGTAAGGGTCACGAGGGTCAAAACAATGGTTATGAGGGTCAGAATAAAGGTCGTAAGGGTCACAATAAGGGTCACGTGGCTCATAATCAGGGTCATGAGGATCAGAATAAGAGTCATAAGGGGTAGAATAAGGTTCACAAGGTTCAGAATCAGGCTCATGAGGGTCAGATTAAGGGTCACGGGGATGAGAATGAGGATCAGAGGGTCATAATATGGGTCACGAGGGTCAGATTAAGGGTCACAAGGGCCAGAATAAGGATGATACCGGTCATATGTGGGTCATACGAGGGTCGCCAAGCAGAAAATAATAATCATAATAATGAACAGTAAAAGATACTTGGATATCCTTGAGCGTTATAAACGTTTAGGTTTTACCGGCTGAAACCTACATCCTTAGTACCCACTCGTCGATAAAATATGTAAGTTTACCAAGTGAATAACCGATGATAACAGGCTGACTGAAGGGCGATGTCGTACAATTATAATGCTCGACTGGTTAGTGATTACGGTTATATAGACTAGAAACTGTTACGAAGACGTAGAGTGAAAGAGTGAGAGAATGGAGGATGCAAGAGTGGGTCGCCTTAACAGCCCTAGAGACGTTGGCACATAGAATAATGGCTGCGGAGAGGGCTGGGGGTAGTCGAAGGTTTGATGGGGGACGGGGGTATTGCTGAAGGTGAGGGTAAAGGGGCCGGCTGGTTACCCTGTTAGCCAGACGAGGGTGCACAATGTATGCAAACAGTGTAACTCTCGGGGTGTTCTACCCTCGGGGTATTCTCGAATTACTCGCACCCCCGCCCCTCGTCGCCCTTCAGCAAAATGCGGTGGGTAACGTACCTCACTCTCATTCTCCTTGCGGATCCACTGGTGTCCTTCGATGAATTTAATTGCCAACAGCTCACGCCTGTTAACGTTACACCGATTGACAATGTGTTAGCCTGGTCTATTTATTATTTAGTCCCACATTACCAAGGCAAATTGAATGATGGGATGGAAAGCCTTGAAGCATGAATAATTAATCAGAAATTGAATTCAAATGTAAATCAACAAAAAGAGAGATGAGGGGAAATTAATTCACTTCCATTTTCACCCAAAATTGGTTCGTTCCAGTTTCTCGAGTTTATTTGGTAAGCCGAAAATTGCTCGGGGGTTTGAGGTACTGATGTACAAATATCCTCCGGTGGTGGTGGGTTCATAAATCTTGAATCAACAGGAAAACCAACTTTTCCGTTTTCTTCTTTCACTTCACAGAGAAAAACAAATAAGTACTAAAATCAATTGGCATCGAATTTTTTTTTAGTGGAAGTTTGTGTAACTTCTTTCGTAAAAATTGGATGAATGCTCGGTGATATATATTTACAGTGGGGCCGTTCAATCTTGAGCGAGCCAAGTGGTGAAGGTCGACGAACGGGTGAACGATGAAGTGGCCACTTACAAATGGGTGGGGATGAGCGACTCTCTTCTAGTCGAGTCACGTACGGAGTGGAATTTTCAGGAGATCATTTTCGGTGAAAATTTCAGAGGCTGTTCTACGGGGGCTTAGGGCCAACTCTCGATTCCGTTTCTTGGGACAATTTATTGCGGTTTAAGGAGGGATATGTTTAGAAAAATTGGTCATTTGAAGCGAAAAAATATCTTTATTTGAATTTTTTTAGTTGTTTAAAGAAATGGATTTAATTATGTCAAATAAACAATTTACTAATTTAAAATAAATTTTTTAGTAAATTCAAGGAAAGAATTTATTTTTTTCAAATGAATCATTTATTAAAATCCAATCAGCAATTCATTAATTTCAAATGATGAGTTTTATTATTTTACAAAATCACATTTTCACGGATTTTCAAATCAAATAAAAATCTTTATTTGAAATTTTTTACTTGTTTAAAAAAAAAGATTTATTTATATGAAATAACCAATTCCTTAATATCAAAAAAAATTCTCAATATAAGAAAAATCTTTATTTATGATTAACGAAAAATTCATTTGGCTCAAATCATTTATTTAAAATAACCAGAACCTCAAATAAAAAAAAATCGATTCAACGAAAAACTTTATTTCATGTTATTTAAATAAACTTATGTATTTGGTTTAAATAAATCACTTCTCTGAGTGTAATGATAGATTCTTCAGACATAAGGAATTACTAGGGGAATAAAGGAATTACTCGTGTAAAACAGACAAGAGGAAAATTTTCCCCCTCTTTATTCGTATATTTTCTCGAGTTAGTATGTTACACTTTTCCTCATTCCCTTCAAACATAATTACCAAGTTAAATTCGTACACAAGTTTTCTTCGTCATTCGTTTAAAATTCCCTAATTAAACTATAATCAGACTCTCATGTATATTTACAGTATGATTAACAAAAAATTATCATTTTAATCGTCATTTCACCTCAATATATTCACTAACTTTGTACAAAAATCTATTTTGGCGGGGGAGGCTGTCAGACACACTGGAGAAACGTGGGTGGAGGGAGACTCACCACCAATGCTTTTTCAGACACACTTGACGCTTCGGTTTATCGGCAACAGAGATAGTTGGTCTCTGAATGCGCCAGAAAACATGCGAGAGTGACACTTGTGCACTGTAACTATCGAAAAAGTCACTAACCATCGGTTCAATGTTGTCACGTTCGAGTGGTGGACGCTGGGCGCCTTTTTCTTGATTTTTTTTGCACTGGACAGAACAGACGTATCGATTCGTCTGTTTCTTTTCACTATTGACAATATTCCCCTTCCCAACGCGGGGCAAGTGTCTCGACTTTTTTTTTTTTTCGTTATAATGACCTCGCGTTTGTTGCAGCCAAGACGCGTCGATCTCGGTTGTCATTAAGGGGAGGTTCACCTGGGGAAGAAACTTCTGCTTTTTTCGAGAAAAAAAACTTCGAAAACACTATTTTTACGTGATTTTTCCTCAGGAATCCCATATTGTTGGTCAAATTGGTCTCTGACTGCTAGAAAATGGAGATTTCAATTTTTTGTAAAAATTCCCAACGAATTTTTTTATCGAAATAGTTTTTTAAATATGATCACAAATTTTCGCTCCTCAAAAAAAATTTTTCGAAGAGAAATACAGAATCAGATTCCCGAGGAAAAATTGGGGGGAAAATAGTATTTTAAATCTTTTTTCTCAAAAAAACGAAAACGTTTTTTCGGGGTTAAGCTTCCCTTAATCTGAGGGAAGGCTTCATGTCTCATTTCACTTCTCTGATGCTCACACAACCGTGAATTATATTCACGTAATACCACTAGATTTGGAGGGACAAAAATATAGAAATTTATTATGTATATAATCTATTAAAATCTACTAGACACCAGAGAAACTTGTGTTTTGAATTCAGCAGCGAACAGTTTTCGAGGAATATCTCCAAATCTAAGGGAGATACCGAAGTTTTTGTAATGACCTTTTTTGCAGCTCTCAATTCGCTCTACAAAAAAGGTCATAACACAAATTTTGGTATCTCCCTTAGATTCCGAGATATTCGTTGAAAACTGAAACATAAAATCGACTTGAACCGCTTTCCCGTTTCGTTACTGAATTAACAACGTCTTCTTTCAAGACGTCTTGAAGACACTAGTTTTCATAGTGCGATTACCACATCCATCCGTCTATCACTCATTATAAAAAACATGAATTACGTTAGTCAGGTGTTAGTTTGTACATCGAATAAAAAACATTTCAATGTTCTCAAGCATCTCATCATCTCCGTTTTGTGTTCGTCATAAGCACAAATTCACTTTTGTGCCCAGTGAACCAACGGGTATTTCACAAGTCGCTGCACGTGTCCACCCCTTATTATTATTTTTTTTTCTCTCGACACAGGCCACTGGTCCGCAAAAACATTTTTCTTGATCGTACGCATGTGTACGACGACGTACGCGTGAATGCGCCACTTGAATGGTACGTGAAAAAGAAAAAAGGAGAGGAAGAAAAAATAGTGAAATAACAGAAGGGCTCACATTCACGAGGGGTAGAACCTTTACACCATCGTGTATTTTCCGTTCTTCTCTACACCCTCTGTGTGTGTTCTTCATATACAACTCTCCTGTATTCGATTCGAGCGTGTGACCACTTCCGGCTGGTGAAACTTTCCGTGCGCCGAGAGAGATGAGGACACTGGCCTCTGGGATATTGGCCCCACCCCCTTACTCGACCTCTGCAGGCTGTAATAGACCTGTATTAAAAATTCAGAGAACTGGAATTAGCGAAATTCCGACATTTCGTAATGGGGTTGTAATTAATGGTGTCAGGGAAGTTTGGAGTAAGTGATATGGGATTTTCGGGGAAGTTTGAAGGTTTTTTAGGCTCTCGTTGCGGGAAATGGGTGGGTAGAACAGGTTTTATTCGTGAATGGAGGTGATTCGTACGTTATATCGAAATTATATGAAGTCCGGGGTGTCTGGATTATTTGATAGGGCGGTAGCGTTTGTGAATAGTTTATTATGACATTGATGGTAATTTTTGAGTGGAATTTCAATGTGAAAATTCGATATTGTAAATTTCAGTTTAATTATTGCAGGAAATGTAAATAGAAATTTAAAAAATTTAGGTAAATGGAGTCTTTAGTTTTTAATTAATTGCCATTTTAGCGTAATTTGCAACTGAGAATTTATAGTTTTTGTAAAAAATCAAGGAACTATGGCACACAGTTTAAAAAAATTTTGAGTGAAATTCACGAAAATTTCCATGGAATTCCGAAATATTCAGGAAACCATATTTTTGAATTTAAAAAAATTGCAATTCTCGCATAATTTCCAGCTGAATATTTATGCTTTCATTAAACACTGAAGTAATTTGGGGAATTCCCATTTTTCTGCTGCTCATAAAATTGGAATTTTATCAAACTTTCAGTGAATTCTGAAATTTTATTTTTTCCCTCCAACTCGAATTCAGTTTCACCCTTTAAAATTTTCTAGTCAACTGTCCCTGAACTTTCAAGTATCTGCTACCACTGCACGCGTACAATTCAATTATTTATAACCCTCCCTACCCCCAGAATAAAATTTATTCTTCTGCTTATAATTAACCGAATCCAAACAGCAAAAGAATGCTTCACTGCAATCTCTCCATTCACGGCCTAATTGTGCTCATCGTTAATGCCGTGATGTTCTCAATTAAAGACAAAGAATTGCGGTATCAAAATCGATTAATAATTCACCAATAAAAATAGCATCAATAATTATTGTACCCCACTCATTTACTAAACCTCTACAACAAGCTACACATCATGTTATCAAACTTTCCTAAAATCTCGTACATTCATGCGCGATTGATCACCCGGGCTGGACTTGAAAACCGTCATCAATCCCAAAATTGATTACCAGTTGCTAATGAAGAACCTGAACAGATCCCCAAAACCCCGTTCCCGTCATTCCCTTCCATTGACGACTCCAAATTCAATATCATCACCACTTTATGTGGCTACTACCCCGACAAATCTGGACACGTAATATGACCAGCGCGAATAACCAAACGATCATTTAATATGAATCTATAATACTCCCTCATCGATCACGCCCTCCATCAGTCCCATAAACCGAATTGAGTACAGTAGAGCTAAAAGCATACATCTACCCATGAAATATTGAATCACTCCAGAAGCTCGAGGTATCCCATCTTTGTAAAGACTACCTACTCCACTCAAGAAAAGGAAATGCAACTGGAGCTGAAAAAAAAGCTGAAATTTACAAGTTCGAAGAAAAGTGCACTTGTGTACGTCTGTGCCTCACGTTTCTCCATCTCTCTTCCCTCCCGCCCTCGCCCCCTCCCCTCCCCCCTCCCCCTCCGCCAGTACCTCTGCAAATTATCGAGAAAACTTTGGGTAATTAAACTCGTGGGAGCTCAGATAACCGAGAGCCCGTGTTAAACCGGAAAAGTTAGAGTGGCCGAGTCTCGTGCATTAAATTGCAACTGTATCTTCTTTTTGCCCTCATTTTTTTCATTAAAGTGGGTAGAAAAAATCTCCTCTCAACCGTTTTTTTCACTCTCTATTCATGAAAGCAAGCATCAACCAATTTCTGTGCTCATTAAATGCAGCATTTTATCATTGGCAGGTACTTCTGAAGCCTGAAAATTGATGTTCCATTTTTTTCCCCCGGGTTTGTCTGTGTTTGATGGCCATTTTCAATCCCTCTTTCCCGCGTCGTCACTCACGTCGTCAATCGTTCGTATAAGTGTCAAAATATCGATCAAGTCTGTATCCCAGCAGATAAGAGCCTGGCGGTTTTCGACACCAGGGTGGAGGAAAAAAAAAAAAAAAAAAAAAAAGAAAGCANAAAAAAAAAAAAAAAAAAAAAAAAAAAAAAAAAAAAAAAAAAAGGAGAAAGCAAGAGCTGTGGCCATTTATATGAGAATGGGGGCACAATTTTAGTACCAAACATTTTGAGAATGGAGGGAAACCAGCGGTGGGTGGTTGGACGCAGACGATTGGCCAACGGGGAGGGGGCATTTATCAGGACAAATGGCGATCGACGTACAATAAAAGCAACCCTTATCTCTTCATTGACTGTGTCTATTTTTTTTCTCTCTCTCTCCCCTATTCCACTTCCTCCTCC